ACACATAGCAGCTAGTCTTTCGCATCCTCTCTTGGGAACGTCCAAACAGCCTAAACCCATAACTCATGAGGGATCTGCTGCCTTGTCTTCGGAGGGAGTCCGCTATTTTCTCGCGTCTCGAAAATAGCTATTTTTATCGGCAGCGTCATACACAAAGCATCGGTTGATCGATTCGATTTCAGTTTGCATCGCGAATAAAAATAAATTCGGTTTGATTAAATCGAGAATTAAACAAATCGAGTAGAATTACTTGATTTATATCTGATAATACAGCGCGTGATTCGAATTTATCGATTTTATCGAGTAAATTAATTCGAGTTACAAGGATATAAAAATAGGACATGCATTTAATTTTACACTGTTCCGAGACCGTGATGTAACAGAGTCAATGCATAATCGGCCACGTAGGAAGGAAAGCGCGGTTGCACGACTTTCGACGCATTGCCGCAATAGGCAAAGGCCTCGCATTCCTCTTGTGCAACAATTTTCGGCGATGGAAGATCTCGTGACGATGACAGAATGCCATGGCAAGGCTGAATTAAATCTAATCGCTTCTAAGAAGCTGCCGACCGAATGAGCGACCTTCTTTTTAAATGGCATGTAATGGAAACTCGCGTGCATTTTATTCGAGCAAAACGAGAAGCCAGACAAAATTTTTGAATATAATTACAACAATAATATTCTACATATGGGTTTTAAATATTTTAAGAAATATATATTCTGTGTGTGTATTTTAAGAATTATAATAAATATTTTAAAAAGTTCTTTAGTGTATGTATGAATATTCTTTTGAAAGAAATAATTGAACATATTGTCATTATTTAGCGCTTAATTAAATTCTTATAAAGTCCATTTTTATCTACAAAAATATCGATTATGGGAAAATAAACATTATCATTTTTATATATTTTTATAAATAATAAATTAATTGAAGAATATTATATTGTTCTTTATTTACATTCTTAAAATCTAATTTAGGAAAAGATCTATATTTTTTCTCTCTCTCTCTCTCTCTCTCTCAATCATTAATCATTTAAAAATTCATATCCAAACATTTTCGAAAGAAATAGAGAAAAAAGAAATGTACAAAAATAATCAATTTAAAATTGGCCAAAGAATAGAATCTTAATGCGATAATGATGCGGGATATCCTATAATCTGTAATATTACAAAAATACGTACAAATATATTTTGGCTTCGCATTGTATGATTTAGCAAAATAAGAAAATACTGAAAATCTGATGATACGTTAACCACATATAACCCGAAAATCGATATCGATAAGAAAGATATCCAAGGAATACGTTCCAACTATGTTGACGATAGCGATTCCTATAATCGAGTCCCCTCGCAATCGTTGACAATATTTACCTTCAGCGTTCCTTCCTCGTGCTTTTCTCGACGACACGAAGCCGTCATCCAGCCGTATGTCATCGTGGATACATCGTCGCGACGGTGCATGTGGAATTAATACTCGGAAATGACGGATTAATGATTTAAGCGAGTCGCCATTTGTGCTGCGAGGTTTCTTTCTCTCTCTCTCTCTTTCTCGTGTCAAAGTTTGTTACCTAGCTGAAACTTTTACGAGATATATATACGCGAAATTGCAGAAGGGTTGCACGAGAGTCCGTAAAGAAAATTAGAAAGAGAGAGACAAAAAAAGAAATAACCGACCAAGGGAAGACGAGACTGACAAATATATTTGTGTGTGCGAACGCGCACATGTTCGATGCAACTGCATCGCCTTTGTCCTCCTACGCATGGAACTTTGTTAATAATTCAACGAGACGAGCGAAAGAAAATGAACGCAAATTCTGCGGTTGTCGCATGTTTCCTCTTGGAAATGTATTATCCATCTATTGAGGTGCACAGGTAAAGGTGCATAGCAAAAGAGCGATTAAATAATATTAAACATTCTCCGCTTCGAGAGAACGGACTGAGCGAGATATAGTTTTAGCCCTCCTGAGAGCCCTCTCATTTTCCGCGTCGTCTCATCGTCCGGCCACCCTACCACTTTTTCTACTGTTCCAATGGAGTTGAGCTCCGCCGGGAGTTGTCATTGTAATTGATACGCGATAACTGCATAAATAATGAATTCGGCGAACATAAATAATGTGCAAGCGTCGCAGAGCGATCGAAAGTTGGAATATTGAATTTTCTTGTAATTGAGACAAATATGTTTTATTCACTGCCGTAACGTTATATCAGCGTATATTTCTTGCCTCGAAAAATTGGACAATTTGTTATTTATTCTATGGTAAAATTTACACGGCAATTTTAATAAATTAAAAAATATATATTTTTTCTTTAATTTAAAATTGTAAATTTTTTGAATCTATTTTCTTCATTTTAAGCTGTACCATCATTATGTACAATAGTAATATTAATCAGTCTATAAGAGCATGAAACTTTGTTCGTAATAGAAAGTCAATAGCATTCTCGAGATGAAGAGAAAGTATTATATAAATGTTAGAAACAAGAAATGCGTTAAAAGAAAAATGAAGTATACAACCGTGAGACGCTTTCAAAGTGTTTGCTTGTGATTTCACTTCAGTGCCGATCTTATAACTCATCCAGTATGATCGTTCTTTAACGAATGCAATCAGCGGCAAGATCAAACGATACGGTTTACAAAAGGAGTATAAAGCATTCGTTCTATATCTTTTTCAAACAATCAAAGTACACAGTATTTCCAAAGATAGCTCTTTTTGAGATTTTTAACCTCGACATTGTTTTTTACACCGAATTATTAATTTATACTACATTTTTAATACGAATAACTGCCAGAGCACGTGCAAGAAGCTTAAGAATATCTCCGTTCTTAACCGTTAAACGTATCACTTTGCGACAGAGAGTAATAAAAAAGTAACTCCAATTCGCGGAGTCGCTTGTGTGAGGAGCATAAAATTCAAATCTGTGGAGACACACGAGGCACCGTATGGTTGGCCCTTCCTCGCCAAATAACCTGCGCAATAACGTCGCATAAATTCTACTCCGAGATGATGATCGGGCCGGCCAAGCCGGTACGGCTTCTAACGACTCTCGCGGAGGATCTAACAAAAAGTAACGACGGTCCCTCGGTAAGCATAACTGTACTCCGATAGAATAACTCAACAATGCGACGGTCACGATTTTTCTCACCGCATTCCTCCTCACGCGCGATTCAAAGAGCTCCGGCTTACACTTGCGCCACGGTCACACCTACATTAAGCGCAACAGGACAGGGAAGCGTCTCCGCTGTCATTCAATTTTTTTTTATAACGTGTCTTTTCAGAGATTCACATTCGTCACCTCTGTGTCTTTGTCCGTGCGACTTTTGAATAATTTAGGAGCGGTAACGAGATCTCTTTTTGTTTTAATGTCACATTCTCGTATTCGGTTACTTGACGACGTGACGGTAACATCTAATTTTTTTTTTCCTAACGCCGCTAGGGAATGTCTTTGAAGATTGCAGAGAGTAACGTGGTTGAAAACTCTCCCGAAATGATCGCATGGACGCGCTCCGAACTTTGGTACATTTAATAAATAGCTCCTCGGCCTATCAGCGACTTCTTTCACTCTTCCCTGAGCACGTTTAACGTGCACAGAGCCATTTCCCCGGCACCCGGGCTTCCCGTTTCTTTGCTCTTTCTCCTCTGCGGGCCTAATGTCAATAACCGTTGCATTAGTTGACGCTTCGTTACTTTCTTTGCGGCGAACGAGCGGGCGATTAAAAATGGTCGGGACGTCGTTCGCGGCGGCAACACGAGTCGCCGTCGCGACGTCGACGTCCAATGCCGATGCCGTGGGTCGCGTTGGTGTTGGTAGCCCATCGGCGTGGCCGTTTCACGTGGCGTCGTCGTAACGTCACGCTCGGTGATTTGCTCGCCGGAGCAAAAGATGTTCCCAGTGGCTGCACCGTCGCCTGCATCCTCTTTGTACACTTTGTTCACACCGTGAAGGCAAGTCGTAAGGCATACCATGGATCCACGGACAGGGGGCACGGACGGGGGGCCCCCGTAAAATCCACGGCGTCGTCGCCTCTCTCTTTCTGCACGTTAGAGCGTCGCCGAAGCGGAGATTGACGTACACGTGGACGAAAAAAGATCTACACGAAACCGTCCCAAAAACCGTCGCGTTATCCTTCAGCTGCTCATTCTTTGATCAGTCTGGAATTGATTTTCTCTCTCTTTGCGAAAATTAAGAAGCCGAATGAAAAAAGTAAATTTTCGTTGAAAAATTTCCAACTAAGAGAACGTGGAATAAAAACTCCTAGACGGTGCCTAAACGCGCAGCAAGTTTCTTTTTACGATGCACCGTTTTATCTCTCGTCGGGGAGAAGAGAACGAGTATGAGAAGCGGTAGGAGGAATGCGGCAGTTGCAACATCCACAGTTAGGCCCCCACGTGCAGCAACGATGATGCAACTGCTTGTGCATTTTGTAACTCCGAAGCTAGGACGGCCTCTTTACTCAGCGCATCGGGCCAGATAAAGTCTATCGAAATTACTTCGAGAGAGGGCAATATTATATTGCCTGCCGACCGACCATCATGTTTTGGGCCGCGAAATCGGTCCTATCTAATTTTCTAAAATGATCGTAGCAAATACGAAGACTTATTATTCACGTTCACATTGTATATTTTGGCGATGAATCAAAATACGTGGTTCAGTGGTAACGCGCGCACATAAAGTTCAACAAACCTGCAAAGTTTGCCCATCCGTTCACTCGCTACATCATTCTTGATTTCACGTGTCAATAGACTCAGCTGCGTCGTTATCTCTCAATCGTACGTATGCGATCTAATAGTAACCACGTATAACGCACTTCCGACATAAATTTAACGAAAGATCGTACAAAAGTATCATGAACTAGACTAGAAATAATTTTACGCAAAGTTACGCGTTGCGTTTCGCATTCGCGGATCTCCGCTGAATTAAACTCGTAATTTGCGCCGCTCGCCAGGTACAAAAGTAAGTAACCGATCTCTCATAATGACGCAAAGACAATAGATGGTACTCACCGCCATCGACAGTAGAGACAGTGCTGGCCTTGTTGATCTTCGTATTCCACATTGCGGGCGTGGGTTTTCGATCGGATGTCGGCGGATGAGCCGGTACAATCGGTGCTACTATCGCCGGACCCAGCTGTGCTCCGTGTGGCAGATGATCCGAGTTCGGTCCGTACGAGCTCGCGTCGAATCCTCGTCCGGAATAAACCTCGGATAGCCTCTCCGCCAACTTATCCACTTTTTCGGTCAACGCTGTTGGCTCTTGTTTTATTCGAAGATCTGCGACAGGACACAAGTTTTCTGGTGAAAATACGTCTCGTTTGATTCGATTTTACATTGATCTCTCCAAGAAGAGATCTGTCTCTTTCTCTCTCTCTCTCTCTCTCTCTCTCTCTTTCTCACCTTCGGCAACGCTCTCCTTGATGTCGCAGTTACTGCGTTCCTCGGATCGCGCTCGTTCCAACTGCTGTTCCATTTCTGTCGGCGTGTGAGGCGCGGTATGAGGATGCAAGGGATCAGAGGGATGAGCGAACGGTTGGTAAAAATGGTTATCCAGCAAGTGCGGATGCGGGGCAGACGCTGGCCGGAAGGCAGCGCCGTCGCGCAATACGCTCGCTCTTCCCAGTGTGTCGACGTCGCTCGGCGATCTAAAAATACGCGGTCGCAACTCAAAGAATCTCACGCAAGCGTAATCGGTAAGAACGTATAACGCGGATATTTGGTAAACATGCGTATTACGAGCAAGGTGGGAGCCGGAGATTCCGGAAATCGTAGCGCGATTGAAAGAATACGAAAGAATGAAAAAGACACTCCCTCCGGAATAAGAATCATTTGTCGTTTTCTACATCGGGGAATTTGGACTCAGCGAAATGCTAATTCGATCGAACGGAATCTTTTAGCGAGTCCAAAATTTCTTTTCGTTTCCGCGATTTATCGCACATACGTCATCGCTAGAAACGTTAGAACGTAGGAAGGCTACTTTCGGAAGGCTTTCTCGTACAAGACCATCACGGATCCTTTGGTCGCGCTGCGAAAAATATTATCCTTACCTCATCATCTTCTTCGGCAAACTCTCGTAGTAGTGAGAGCTCGAGTACACATTGGGCACAGTGTACGCTGGAGCGGGCGACGGCACCGGTGTGGGGGTCCTCTTCATGGTGTTCCTGGGCATGGTGACCTCGCCGGCCTCGCTCATGTCATTCACGTCGCCGACGCCACCCCCGTTGCCGAAGATATTACCCATGTTACCGCTACCGACGCTACTTCCTACGGTACCGTTACTGCCTTCTCTGCCTCCACTGCTACCTTCTACGTCCGCGGAAGTATTGCTACTCTCTGCGGCGTGCCTCTGCGCCACAGCCAATTTTTCATGTTCGATGATCGACAGACCCTTAACCTAGAATTTACGGAAAAAATAATAAATATATTACGGATATAAAAATGGTTGATTATTCTTCAACACACGTTACGAATATCGATTATTCTAATAAATATTATACGCTTGTATTGCTCTACATATTAACTAAATGCGTAAAATGCCGTTTTTTTTTTGCAATAAATATTTGAAATACTGAATTGAAACATGTGCGATTCCGAGTTCAAGGCGACAATTTCGAAGAAAGTTTGACAAATGATTCAACTCTTATCGAGAGCTTCTCCGTTAGTACAAATGACACATAAAGATAGAGGGCCGTCGAAATATCTGGAGGCGCCGCGCGCCACGTGTACAATTATATTTGGGGAACATTATTTAAGGTCATTATTTTTCGAAAAAAGACAAGCACATACTTGAAGGCATTCAGCCGCCTTGAGGAAAGAACTGAGGGATTCCTGGGACACGTGTACCTCTCCACGGTACATGAATTCGAGAAGGGACGCCATATTATGGGCACTCGTCCCGTCGAGAATAACGATCAGTCCCGCGGGAGAAGGCGGCATTCCTTCGAAAAGCTCCTGAAAGTGCTTGCTGCATGCTGCGAGAATTAATCTGTGCGCCTTGAACGTAACTCCTGGAATACAAATCGAATACACCGTCTTAATAAACGATGAGAAAGTATAGATACGAAAAAGTCACTTATTATCAAAGGGAAATGACTCGACGAGTTACAAATGAGTTATCATTATCCATTAATCTTAATTATTTAAGTATTTAAATAAAATTAAAATTATACATCGCTGGATGAGTCTGAATATTACGAGCGTTACCACTAATTTCATTTAGTATAAAGTACTAGCGCGCGCTTGTATACTCGGTAATTACAAGAATTAACGCGTAGGAAACTCGCGGAGGATTTATCACGAAATTAGCATAGAAATTTTCAATGCACGCACAAAACGGCCCGGTCTCTTTCTCACGGCTTTCTCACGATGTAACGCGAACGAGCGCGGGAATTTTGGCGTGCAAAGGAAGCCGGTGACCGACGAACCCTTTTTTTTTTCAACTCGGGCCCACCATTTCCCTCTCCGCGACGCGACATAAAGGAGAACCCGGGGCTAGCGCGACTGACGTCGATGCCCTTTCTCGCAGCCCATTGCGTATGTAGGTCATCTTCCGACACGATCTTCCATATAATTCATAATTCACGCGCACGCTAAGCATAATGCATGCTCGCCAAGCGCGCGGGCGTGTAACACGACACGGGCGACCGCTGCACGTAGGGCGCCCGACAAAAATTCGGGAACGGCTGCGCGTGAAAAAAAGAGCCGTGACCACGTGAGCGATCACTCAAGCCTCTTTCTGCATTATGGCCTTCGGAAAGAATTATTTAAAAAATCCTTTCTCGTGTCGCACACACCCACACATACACACAAGTTTATTTAAAATTTAATCTAGAGCTACGAAAAAGTTTCTTTCGTATAGCTTCATTCAAGTTTTTCGCGAAATTTGTTTAAGGATGTTTTGCATGTACAATCTCAGCAAAAAGTAGCTGAAGATCAATGTTGACGAATATATCCACTTTTGGTGTATTTTGAGTAAGAAATTGTGTGGAATATTACAATTTGAGCTTAGCTACAGTGCAGAGATGTATTTTTTAATATTTATTGCGTTTTTACTGAAATATTCCGAATTTTGTTAATCGAAATGATTAACTTTTGCCAGAGAATTCTGCCTTGTGACAGATACATGACTAACTTCATTAAATTATATTTAATATCTTTTTAACCAGTTAGTACTTCTATAATATTATTCGATCAAATATTTCCTCTGCATCTAAACTTTTGCAAATTTTCAACAAATTCTGAATATTATTTCCATGTGTTTTTGTCATTTGAATCGACGTGGTTATACGTTTCCCACAAGAACACATGTTAATTCGGGGCAAATTAAAATCCTTATAACTTGTGAACGCTTTAGTGAAGCGATTAAAAATTGTACTGAAGATTCTAAACACATGTAAGGATATTCTGTACAATTTTCATTAAATTCTCAATATTTTGAAAAATAGGTACAAAACATCCTTAATTTTTAAATTAAATCTACACGTAGACTTATATACATATCTCATTATCAAAAGTTATTTGCTCTTTGAGTTTGATTTCGCTCATCGTACATGTAAGTCTATTTAAGCGTTAATTTAGAGAGAAGAAGAGATATTGTTATCTCTCTTTGTTATGGTTTCATTCAAGTATTTTTGCTACATTTTTGATACGCATTCATGTGCACATCTCGTTATCAAAAGTTATTACGTTTTATTTTTCTCCCTCGCTTCATTAATTTCATACGGATCGAGATAATGGAACATATCGTGAAAGCGCTTCGTCTTTAGACGCAGGCGTGCGTTTTTAGATGGATGAGGAAGAAACCTCATCCGATAGTGTCCTCTCCGAATAAGGAAATCAAGTGCGAGAGGAGAAAAGAGAAAGGTGACGAGGGCAAGACCAGGTGGCTCAAAGCACCTGTCTTTCCGAGTGGCTCCCGAGTAGGACACAAAGTGTATCCAACTCTTTGAGCTTCCTCTCGGCGCGGGATCAAATTTCCGTGCACTCCCCGTTGCGCCCAATTTCAAGCCTCTTATCCGACGAATATTGAATTTGCCACGTATATATCCGAGGAGGAGAGGGAGAAAAGCATAACGCGGTTTCCATGATGGCTCTTAGGTTCTCCCGCGGCGCTTATCGAAATGTATCGCGTCGTAAATTTGTCTTTCATTTAATAATAACGAGCAGAATATTCGCGATATCGAACTTCGAGCTAGAAATAATTTTTGCATTTCTGCGCTCTAATCGACAAGTAACAATAATCTCGCTGATTACAACCTGTCCAATATAGCATCGCAAATATAGATGTACGCTTTGCTCATTACGCGCTATGCAAGGGCCAATGGCCGAGTCGCGTGTAAGTGCGTGGGCGTTTCGCGACAGCTTGCGCCACCGCTTACATCAAAATTAGGATACTTTGCGCGACGAGTCTTCGCGCGACGAGAACAATAGAACCAAGCTCGTACGCGAAATTGATGAATTAAAAAAAAAAAAATTTCATTTTGTCGGAGAAAAAAAGTTTCACTCACCGATTCGATTGCACAAGAGGAAGAGTAATATCATTGCCCGCATCTACATCTGCGAACCGCGTACATGATAAATACGCGAAACGGCAGCGCGGTTTGCCGCAGGCACACTTGTGGAAATAATGAAATATGCAGAATTCATCAGCGTGTATAAGAGAGTCCCGGAATTATTAAAAAATCTTACAACGCGTGGGTGTCGCAACAAACTCTCGAGATGTGCTTCTCGCGTATGCGTGTCAGGCGCGATTATTGCTTTCCATTATCAGAGCGCATGCAAAATATACGCTGCAGAGAATTTCAGAAGCGGCGGTTGCGTAACGCGAGCGCGTGGAGACCTCGAGAGCGTGTTTATGACATCCCGCAACGCCGTCATCGACTTGTCGAGGCGAGCGAGAGCACGGCTATTTACTGAATGAGCGAATAGAGATAAAGCGCGGGCGACTCTCGGCGCGACTGCGCGCGATATCTATTTAGATATTGTTCATAGTGGAGGACTATATTTATAATGCGAAAGCGAGGGCGGCCATCGTAAACGATAACGTTTGATTGCAGATAAGCGATAGGATCGGCGAGAGTGCAAAAGCTATCGAAAAAAACAAATATATATATATATTTTTTTTTTTTTACTTATATAATGCATACTCGTCGAGCGATCCTTTGCCAAAGTAAAAATAAAAATTGCATAGTTATTAAACCGCGTTGATTAAACGTTAAGTTTGTTAGCGTCTAAAGAGCGTTGTCTAAAACACTTATCTACGATACTCTATTTGTACCCTATTTCTCTACGTTAATTGGAGAAATATTTTTCAAGCACATTACCGGGATTACGAAGAAATTTAATAACGAGAAGCGAGATCGCCAGTAGCTCCTCGACGGCCGAAACTTGCAAATAAAACGCGCGTAGTTACGCAACAGTGCAATGCACTCTTCGCGAGCAATCTATTCATATTCCAAGGCCAGCCGGTAGAGCTCTTTGGGAGTTAGGGTTTTCGACGAAGCGTCTTACAACGGTCATCGTTCCCCCTACTACGCAATAATAATTCGGGGCCTACGTGTACGTGCACCGTGGCCGAATGCGTGTAATAAACGCCGCGGGTAAAACCGACAATCACAGCTTATAAGTCAATGTCAATTGCGTCCCAATGTCAGCGACCGATACGTCGTAGAGTCGTCATTTTTATCAGCTCCAAAAATGTTGAGCAAATATATTACGGAAGAAAGAGAGAAGATCTCGATCTCCTTCTTCTGCATCGGAAATAGAATAACAACGTTACGAAAGAGGGGAATCTTTGTAATCTCTCGAGATGCGTAAAATTGGAAAATCTTTTTTGCGTCGATCGGCACAAAATTAAATCGGCGTAAAATATCGCGGATGGTATTTCAAAACCCGTGTTTACAAAACCCGAACGCACACTGAGAAAAATCGTTTGATTGATACCAACAAGACGTATATGATTGAAGGCATTTTGGTTAAATCAAACAAGAACTTGTAGTTATCGTGATAAGACTAGATTTTTTATAATTAGAACGTTTAATAGATTTTACTATAAGGATTTGGTATTTTCTGGTTGGATCTATAAAATTTCTTGTTACATTGATTTTTTTGCTTGCCACTCTTAACTTAACTCGTATTCACAATATTTGCCATGAAATGTATATAAAGAACTAGTAGTAGAACTTAGTATTAACATTAAATCCAAAGTATATTTTTTTTCTCTTGCGAGCAGTAGTGCCAGAAAGAGGAGCTAGCTCTCTGATTGTGTGTTTGAGCTGCATCCTCTTCTTGCATCACTGTTTATCAGTTTATTTTCTAACAAACTGAACTTAAAAAAATAATTTATTCAATAATCTGGATTGAATTTATCCAATAATCTTGTTGGAATTCAGAAAATTAAGCAGACTTTTAAGATTAGATGGAAAAAATTTTAGACTTGGTGGCGAGTTTAGTATTTATTAACCAGGAAATTTGGTAAATTTAACCGGAAGGAATTAATCAGATTCATCCGGTAATTTCTACAAGAATTCTGGTTCGTCCATTTTTCAACAGACGTACTGAATCTACCAGAATTCTAATTAATGCAATCAGATTTTTTTCTCAGTGCAGGAGGAGCCGGAAAAATCACGTGGAGCGATCTTCGCCGCTCGTCGCCGAGAATTCGCGGGGAGCAGCGGCTCGCGCTATTATATTTTCCCGATAGATAGGACTAGTTCGCCGATTTGATTAGAGCAAAGTCAAGCCTCTAATACACACGGAGGAACGCGTCTAAGGGAAGGGAACGGCGGTCAATGCCCCGTCAAGGTCGACGATGCAGAGTATGCTAGGCGAACACGAGCGAATGTATATTGGCCCGATCTGGTGTATCGGCTCGGCTCAGCTCGGCTCGGCTCGGCTCGGCTCGGCTCGGCTCGGCTCGGCTCGGCTCGGTTCAACTTCGTTCATCGTCTTCTGGTCGACGGGCCAATCGCCGATCGCGCTTCCTCTGGGCCCGGCCAATGGCCGCGTG